TGTGTTCATACGCACTGTTTTTAAGTTGGCATTGATCGAAATGTTTTGTTTAAATATTATCGTTAGTAATATTATTTATCGTTGAAAATATTTTAAAACTTTTGTTTCATTGTAGGTTTTTTTAAATAATCAAAGTTAATTCAAACTATTATATATAACAAATATTGACTTTTTTTATATTCCACTTTTTTTTCAACACTGAACTTAGCGCACTTTGCTGGTGCATTTGAAAACTAATTCACGTTCCAATTAATCATCAGCATAATTCGGCATTGGTAGCCACTGAGTCGCATTATGCTCTGTAATTGGAAGTCTGTTTTTATTTTTGTATGAAAAAGTTTATATTTTCCACTTTTCATAAGCCAGAGTAAATCACCTAAATATGCCTGGCCAGGCCTGCATTCTTTTTTATATTTCTTAAATTAACAAAACATGCATTGAGTACTGTTTGTAATTGAGGAGTTCCATTGTTTCCCTCCGAAAATACTCATCAGCTCTGCACTTAATTAATACAGCCATCTCGCTAATAAACTGATTCAAACAAAAAAATAATCATCAAAATCGGTCCACGAATCTCGGAGATATGCACGAACAACAATTGAAAAAAAAAATAACAAATATGACGTATAGAACCTCTTTCTTTTTGAAGTCGGTTAAAATTTTTAATTTACCTTTTGAGGTACTGCATGCGTAACAACACGCCGGAGTCCTCTTTTAGTAGTATATAAGTCTCCAGCTTCAAAATGGATACTGCAAATGACACTATATTTATTTGGAATCCATTCATCATCTCCGTTACAATTCCTAATAACTTGGATCCAGTCATTTCTCCATTCTACATTTTCTTTAGGGAATCTGATAAAAAAGAATAACAAATAATAGATTGAAGCTAATGTCACCCCAATTTCCCATATTTTAGGTAATATGGTTACGTGAACATTGACAACACTGGACTTTAGATTAATTATTTTGTGCTTAGAATGAAAATTGATTTCGATTTCTAAAAACTAGAAAAAAGTGATTATATTGTTCATTTACCTATGAAACGTGATTCCTGGATTTTTTTTCTTTCGGTCACTACGGTTTTTACACCATTTTACCACGCAAGACATCTTGTTTTAACTTATTTTTATCTCCACTTAACGTATCGGCTGCTTTGACGTTTGCACGCGTAATGGCTGACTATGGTGTGAATGTGTGTGTGCCGGCTTGTACATATAGCGACCTGGCCGACTCTGAGCGACACAGTTTGTTGTTTGCCGGGACTCTGTCCGCCTTTTTTTATACGTCCATGGGTTATCATACTATTAGAGAAGATAGAATGGATGGCTATGGTGGAGTAGCCATTCTAATTAAAAATGGTGTTATTTATGAACCCATTACCTTAATAAGACATAGTGAAGAAATTTCAATGATTGCAGTGAAAGTTCATAACATATGTTTAGTATCTATTTATTTATCTCGCCCATCATCTCCAATTTTTAATGAAATAAATAACATGTTTTCATCTCTCCCTAAACCCTTTCTAGTACTAGGAGATTTTAACTGTCACCATCAAGCATGGGGATGTACAGTTACTAACAATTATGGTGAAAATTTGTTAGATATAATGGAATCACATAACTTATGCTTTTTGAATACAGGTTCCCCCACTCGCCTCACCAGTCCTAACCTTAATGCAAGTGCTGTGGACTTATCAATCTGTACTACAAATCTAGCTTCTTCCTTATCTTGGCATACTCTTCCTTCTGCATATGGAAGTGACCATTTTCCTATTATTATATCTTTACCCTTTAAAAAGCCTCATAACTTTAGATGGAAAACCACAAGAAGATATAATTTACCAGATAAAAAATCTAATGACTGGAATAAGTACAAATCTTCTGTTGAAAATAAATTATCATCTCTCCCTATTATCACTCCCGGTAATGAAAACAGTTGTGCAGAGGCATTAGCTAGTATTTTAAATGAAGCTGCCATAGAATTGTTTCCTATTAAAAATAACACCCACATGAAAATACCATCTCCTCCTTGGTGGGACAAGGATTGCTCTGAGGCTGTGAGGAAGAGAAAGCAGGCAGAAATCATGTACAATACTAATATGACAGAATTTAACTATGATAACTTAAGTAAAGTAGTTGCAGAAACTAAAAAATTATTTAAAAAGAAAAAATTCGAAAGCTGGAGAAATTTTTGCAGTTCTATTTCACCAGACACGCCCGCTACCCTGGTCTGGCGTAACATAAAAAGATTTAAATCCGCCTATAATACTTCCTCTCCTGTCACTATGCCTCCTGCAATAGTTAACGATTATATGGACAAATTGGCCCCACCGTGGACTCCCATTCCCATGCTCAACACTTCACAGGTTTTACAATTGAGTAGTAGCTCTGGATTGAATCGTCCTTTCTCCCTTCAAGAACTTAAGAGTGCTGTTTTCGACTATAAAGATTCTGCCCCTGGGGCAGACGGAATTCCGTATTCGTTTTTCGCAAATGTTAGTGATAACATCTTATCCTATTACTTGCAACTTATCAACACTATCATGATAACAGGTGACATACCTCTGTCATGGAAGTCACAAATAGTGTTGCCCATACTCAAACCTAATAAACCACCATCACATGCATCTTCATACCGTCCAATAGTTTTAGCAACTGTTTTAATTAAACTAGCTGAACTTTTGATAAAAAATCGCCTTGAATGGTATTTAGAAAGCAGAGGCATGCTATCCAAAACACAATACGGATTCAGAAAAGGAAAAAGTACAATGGACAATTTAAGTATTTTATCAACTGACATTCGTCTGGCTTTCACATATAACGAATCCGTAGTAGCAGCATTTTTGGATATAAATTCTGCATATGATCACGTATTATTATCAGTTTTGAAAAGTAAACTAGAGATACTAGAGGTTCCTCAAATGTTAACAAATTTTATTATGAATATACTAGCCGAACGAAAATTAATAATGAGCTTACCGAATAGTCTTGAAATACAAAGAACTGTATGGAGAGGCTTGCCCCAGGGATCAGTTCTTAGTCCTTTACTTTACAGTGTATATACTCACGATTTTGACACTTTATTTGAAAATAATATTAAGTTGTTGCAATACGCTGATGATCTATTGATTTATTCTACAAACCGTCACATAGATAATTCTTCTTTGCATATTAACTCAGCTTTACGTTCTTTGAGTTCTTGGATGAACGATAACGGTCTAGAATTATCTGCTTCAAAGAGTACTATTGTAATATTCTCACGAAAGAAGAATCCCCCTCCCGTTAGAATTTATTATAATAATATATTAATTCCCATTCAACCCCAAGTAAAATTTCTGGGAGTCGTGTTGGATTCCAAACTTACCGGTAGTGCACATTGTGATTTTATTATAAGTAAAACTGAACGACTTTTAAATCTTCTCCGATGTCTTTCAGGAGTTTGGTGGGGGGCCCATCCGCAATCCTTAAAACTAGTGTATAATGCATTAATCCGAAGTGTACTGGACTACGGAAGTTTTCTCCTAGAACCTGCCAATTCTACTGCACTGAAAAAGCTAGATAACGTTCAGTCGAAAGCGTTACGAATAATAACTGGTGCTATGAGATCCAGCCCAATTAATGCATTGCAAATTGAAACTTGTGAACCCCCACTTAACATTAGACGACAACTTCTTGCTGACAGATATCTATTCCGTTTACTTCAATTTTCCAACCATCCTCTTATAAATCTACTTTGTTCTTTGAATGAAGAAATAACATCGGCAAGTTACTGGGCACATAAATCTCTCCCATGTTTGATAGTTAGTTATCGAAAGTATATAAGTATACAATCACCTATACACCGATCAAACCATCTTCCCATTTTTACTATTGATTATGATGCCTTAGAAATAGCACCAACTATTCAATATGATTTAATTGATAAAAACCATGCACACCCAAGTATAACCTTCAAATCAATTATAGATACTGAATATGACGACTTTCATCATATATTCACTGATGCTTCTAAGTCCTCTCCGTCTGAGTGTACAGGTGTAGGAGTATTCCACTCTCAGTTTTCTATTGTCCAAAAAACTAAACTTCCTCCGGAGACATCTGTTTTTACCGGAGAATGTATTGGTTTATTAAAGGCTGTTGAATATATCTTTGTTATGAAACTGCGAAAAACTGTAATATTTTCCGATTCAATGAGTGCTCTTCAAGCCCTAAATAAATTCCCTTTCCGTACTAAATCATATTTTCCTGTAATATTTGAGATAAGGAATTTTCTAAATAAATTCATGAAAATGGGATACATGGTAGAGTTTGCATGGCTCCCGAGTCACAGTGGAATTCAAGGAAATGAAAAATCCGACCAGTTAGCCAAAGAGGCAGTGCATTGTGGTGACGTGGTTCCTTATAAATGTTATAGCCAGGACTTGCTATCTCTACCATTGTGCGATTTGCGAAGTGAATGGCTTACAAGTTGGACAAGTAGTGCACAAATAAAAGGAAAATACTATTTTACAATACAACCTACTATTCCTTTAAAGCCATGGTTTCGTAAAGCTAAACTTGGTAAGACTGCTACTAGCATATTAACGCGCATGAGACTTGGACATGTTACTACACCAGCACATCTCTCTAAGCTTGGAATTGTCAGCGATCCTGCTTGCGGGTGCGGAATGGACACAGGGGATCTTAACCACATCCTGTTTTCCTGCCCTCTATACAATCGATATATTTTTTTAAATGGCCTCATTTCTTTAGATGTTCCTTTTCCAACATCCGTAATAACCCTACTCTTCTCTAATAATTTACAGATTTATAAATGTATAGCATCTTTCATAATGTTAAATAATATTAGAGTGTAATCATCTCTATTCGTATTTTATGTATGTATATTTATATAAATATACCAATTCTGTCTCCAGATCCTATCCTCTAAATTCCGATCCAAAATGCATAAATTTCCTACTAATATTTCCCTACCTTTGACACTGGCAATGCACAAATCGTGTCGTGCCATTAAAAAAAAAAAAAAAAAAAAAAATTAAATACATTTAGGCCAAAATTGAAATGTCGGTAAAAGTTGTTCACTTACGCAACTTAGAACGTAGGTATTGTATACTTGCTTAGTGACGTAGGTTTTCAAGGCAGCCAGATTGTACAGAGGTTAAGTTAAACCTGGAATTAATTTCATGTTTATTTTGCAAAATTCCTTTTGCAACCTGAAAACTATTATGGCAACGAAAGAGTTAACATTTATTGGTGAAGATCCTGGTGCGGTTAAACATGGAAATTTTATCAACTATTATACATTTCATAGCCCTACAGAAAGGATACAAAACCTGCACCCATCTATGTTTCCTTCTGATAACAACCAAGAACAACAAATTGTTTGTTTAGATATAGGGTGTAATTCTGGCGAACTCACAAAAGAAATAAATGGTTATATGAGAACTATTTATCCTGAATACAAAATTTTAATTTTAGCAATTGACATAGATCCAATTTTGATAGAAAGAGCCCAGAAATTTAATGGTGAACCAGAAATATGTTATAAGAGATTGGATATTATGGATAAAAGAGACCATATTGTAATCCAAGACTATTTGAGTTCTCATGGAAAAAAAACATTTGATATTACCTTTTGTTTTTCTGTAACTATGTGGATACATTTGAATAATGGTGATAAAGGTTTACTGGAATTTCTGAAATACCTGAAAAACAATTCTAGGACACTGATTATTGAGCCCCAGCCTTGGAACTGTTATCGAAATGCTCAAAGGAGGTTGAAAAAATCTGGAAGCTTATTCCCTTTTTATGAAAATTTAGAAATAAGGAGCAACATTTGCAATATTATAGAAAAAGAATTGTCAAAAGAGACTCATAAAAAAGTGCATGAATCTTCAGCTTCAAACTGGAAAAGAAAAATACAGTGTTATCAAGTACTATGACCATTACTTAAAATAAGCACTTAAAAGTGCATTAAACCAGTTAAATAAATAATATAGAAGATACTTTGAGGCACTGTATTAAAAATATACAATTTATTTTGTTATTCTTCTAAGTATTTCAATGTAAACTGTATAGCAATTGTCATTTGTAGACATGAACATGAAAAGGCATCAATAAAGAAATATTGCTAATTTATATTTCACATAAAAAAAATTATGAGGTAAATAACCTCATGTTTTGAAGATATACTTGGGGTGTACAAATTTTGTGATATATCTATACAAAACTACATAACACTAATGCTATACCACATTTAAGTTAGTATGCTAATAAGTGGCAAATGGTTAATTCAGACTAGCAGCTCATATAATTTTTGAAAACACTTATGATTACGAGCATGATATGTATATCACCCTGTCTTTACTATGCGGATCTTCTTTTTATGATGAAGAATACATTCTTCTGCCTCATGTGACATTCTGATGGTACTGCTGACAAAGAAGTAGGAGAAGAGGATATAATACTCTGATTACTTTGCATAGAAACATTATCCTTAATTTTCACATTCAAGATTCCATCATGGATACTGCAGAAAGATCTTCTAAAATATGAAGAACTGAAAAAATAAAGAATCCAAACATCTAAGATTGGCCTGAAGTTCACAATACTTTTTCTCTGGTGATCATTATCATCATGTCAGCCGTACGACGCCTATTGCTGAGCATAAGCTTCCCCCCCCAAGGATCTCCACACAGGTCCTGCATCACTTAATCCATCGGCTTCCCGCGACCTTTCCCGAGATCTTTGGTCCACCTGGTGGGGGGCCTGCCTACTGAGCTTCGTCGCCATTTAAGAAACTTTCCGCCACAACGGCCATCGGTTCGTCTCGCTACGTACCCGCCCATTGCCACTTCAGCAGAGCAAAAGAGGTTACTCTGCAGATTTTCTCATTTCCGATTCGTATAGCATAGAGAAATTCACTCTGCACTGCTTGCTGTATAGCTAACCCTGAGCGTCTTTATGAGATCCGCAGTAAACGACTAGATTACAGCAAACATTAATGTAAAGACGATTGGTTATGGATTCGAGGCCTTTTGTTCCGTTGATAGCCATAACAAGTTGCCACAACTAAACACGACAACTGTGATCTTAAGTGTAAAAGAATCATGGTACCATTTGCTTTCTTCTGCGCTCACAGACAGAGAAGACCAACCCGACACACCAAATAAGAGCAAATGGGAAGTTGGACAAATCAAATCAAACTCATTGTCACTAGGGTCATTTTCGGACTACAAAAATTGTGATGAGGGTGTATGTGTTGCATATTTCAAAATTCATCACTCATTATCAAGGAGAATCATTATAGCGCAAACACAGAATTTAATGCAAAGTTGATATGTACTCATATGCAGCATATATCGAGCCCTACCGCCAAATTATCGTAAGCGACACTCGCCAAATTATCGTAAGCGACACTTTTGTCGAAATGCGTTTTTTGTGGAAACTAATCGAGCCCTTACCGCCAAATTATCGTAAGCGACACTCGCCAAATTATCGTAAGCGACACTTTTGTCGAAATGCGTTTTTTGTGGAAACTAATATTTTAAACCGTAACGGACCCATCTCTGTTGATATTTCCCTCTATTCTTCCCTCTATTATATTATTACGGTGTTCTTTTGGAGGGAAATATCAACAGAGATGGGTCCGTTACGGTTTAAAATATTAGTTTCCACAAAAAACGCATTTCGACAAAAGTGTCGCTTACGATAATTTGGCGGTAAGGGCTCGTAATATTTTAAACCGTAACGGACCCCTCTCCATTGATATTTCCCTCTATTCTTCCCTCTATTATATTATAACGGTGTTCTTTTGGAGGGAAATATCAACAGAGATGGGTCCGTTACGGTTTAAAATATTAGTTTCCACAAAAAACACATTTCGACAAAAGTGTCGCTTACGATAATTTGGCGAGTGTCGCTTACGATAATTTGGTGGTAAGGGCTCGATATATTGGCTACGTACAATCCTACTGTACTTATAAATAGGACGGCTATTTTAATGAGAGTCGCGTTAACAATATATTTTCAATATTTTTTTACATGTTTTTTTATTGCATACCTAACTAGAAAAGTAAGTTAAAAACATAGATAATAAAAACTTAAGCTTATCTGGGTTAAACCAAACGAACAATGAAGCATCGATGACACGTGGCAAGTTTACAAGCTACAAGCCAGCGAGTTCGCTAGTAGCTTGTAAACTCGTCCCATGGTACAAAAAAATATGGTAAAAAAGCCGATGACACGGGGCGAGTTACAGGCTGCTACCGAACTCGCTGGCTTGTAGTTTGTAACTCGCCCCTCGTCATCGAGGCTTGAGAGCTTGAGTTACGGCGTGTGGACACGCCGGACGCTCGCGCTGAAGCCCTCTGTTGAGCTACCACAAAACCGACAACTAACGGATTGATGGCAGACGCGAAAACAACCCCGTCTACACGTCGGCGGATGCATCCGAAGATGGTATCTGCAGATGCATCGACTTGGTCGTCTGCCTTTACATTTACGTCTTGAGTAGGTATCTGCAATAAAAAATGGTTAAGATACTTAAAAACTGCTTTTATTTATACCATGATATTATTTAAGTTTTGAAAAAAAATCGTACCTGAATCTGTAGTGTAATGACGACATCCTCATAGGCATATATAGTATTTAAATTTTAAAATTCGTAATATTTCAACTTCAAAATATTACGAATTTTTTTTTGTACACGTTTCGGTTTAGACGTGGTGCATACGGGTAACGTCTCCGGTGTGAGGGTGGGACGGGGCGCAGTGCATCGTGTGCGGTGACGGCGGCCGGTGATGCATTGGCAGGCGTTGACTGAATACTGCCGACTGCCGACCGATGCATTTTGTGCCTCGCGAAGTGTTTCTGTAGAAGCCCCGGGTAACCTACTTGCACAGGCAGCGTTACTTAATAACTCTACACCGATGGTGTTATTTGAGTCCTGTAACTTGCTCGCCACATCGGCCAGGTTCGCTTTCAGGAAGTTGATGTCCGTCAGTAGCCTGGTGACATCGACGTGTTCGAACGTGACGCGGGGCAGCTTGTGCAGCTCCTTCGCCACGAATGTAGGCACGACTTCCGGATCGGTCTCCTTCAGTAGGGTGATGATATCCTGAACGCTCGTCAGTTCCATTCCTCTGTCGTGATGGCATCTTGTCGGCCTTACCGACAGACTGAAAAAGCAGCGCCTTGCCACTGCAAATCTTCCTTGAAATTGGATTTGCAAATCTGCAAATCTCGGACGATGGCCTTTGGATAAACGTCTACAACACGTTAACTATGAGTTATTTGGTACTCACAGCTGCCGGCGAACAACGGTCGTCGCCGTGTGCGACGTGAACATTAAGTTATCACTGCGCATCGCACTGCACTGTACCCTTAGTACGAGTTTTACAATTACGAAAACTATGATAGTTCTCGTCAGCTCGCACTCGTACTAAGGGTACTGATTTTATTCTTTTCGTTTCAATACAAATAAACAATTATATCATTAAATCGTTTCCGTCTTCTTAAATTTTAAGTATATTTGGTTAGTTTTCACCAAAATGGACATAGAAACATAATTTACAATTACGAAAACTATGATAGTTTTCGTGAGCTCAAACTTGTACTAAGGGCACTGATAAAATGACATGGTACAAATACGCAGCGAAGTGATTTATGTAAGATAAAAGTATCTAAGATACAGATACAAAATACGTATTTGTATCTATAATACTTTTTTGAAATTTATTGAAGTTATACTTCTTTAGGCGCGTTATGAAAAAATGATGAGAGTGAAATTTTAAGATGCGCGCGCATCACTGTAACACAAAATTTTAACAGCATGAAGTTGGTCGCTTTAGCGACCAACTTCATGCGTTACTTTTGTGTTTACCGCACATTAAGAAAATCTACCAACAAAATAGAAATAGAATCTCTATTTAGTGGGTGCTAACGACTGCATTGTGAAGGCCTATCAAAAGTATTTATTAATCTGGAACAACGGAACCAAAGCGCGATTCAGGAGACTACAGCGCCATCTCTTGACCATTGGTGTAGTAGAACCAAAAACCACATCTTTATTTTTTGTAATAAAGTAACAGTTATAGGTATTCATATTTATAATATTTATCCACATGTTTCTAGTTTGTATATTCGGAATACGTGTTTGAGTTTCATACAAGTGCAAATCACATATGTTCTAATAAATTATATTCAGTAGCGATTTTAATTGAATATTTTGATTATTTATTTATTTTTTCAAATTAAAACTGAACTTTATTGACTGTGTCCTTTTCCAGACTTTTTATTAATTTATTGTAATTTAATTATTTGCATGCAATTAAAAACTAATTTTAAACGATGCCAAAGAAGGATAACTTCTCACGCGCCTACATAAGTACACGCACCCATTTTTTTGTATCTTGTATTTAAATACTTTTTTTTCAGTATCTTAGCATTTTAAAGATACGTTTTTTACTAAGATATTTTGTCTTTTCCTTTATACATAATTTTAAACACTGCATTATTTATAATCGCGGTTATCCATCCCAAACCCAACCAATATTAAACAACCTGCATATTATTAATAATCGCGGTTATCCATCCCAAACCCAACCAATATTAAACAACCTTCATATTATTAATAATCGCGGTCACCCATCCCAAACTAAAATAGGTCAACTTTGATTTTTTTTTTCTCGAAAAGTACGAGGCGTAGTAATTTTTCAGTATTTTTCCAGTGTTTATAATAACTTAATTTATAGGAATTCGGGATAAAAAGGGCATGTCACAAAATCGAGGTTCTTAAAACACTGTGCGTAGGTGGTAGGAAAGGAATTGGATTATTCAAGAGTTTTATAAATAATAATAATGTAAAAACTAACTTATATTTTAATTTTTTAAGCATTTAACTGCTAGATATTTATACCTAAAGAAAATTTTACTAGAAATGATCCACGCGGACAAGGCAGAAAAAAATTGAAAAATATTACTTTATTTACTATTTCTTCTTTAATATGTTTAATACTAGTAAAGGTATTTATTTGACATTGTGGGTTATCACAATGCGAAGAGATGGCGCTACCTTGCAGCCTAAGAAGTGCTACAGAAAATTCCATGACCATCAGGGCCGTGGTAGCAAAATGGTCAGTGCATTCGCCCTGATAGCGAAGCGTGCAGGCTCTCGTCCCGTCTGCTGCCTGGCCCTCGTGGAATTATTTCTAGTAAAATTTTCTTCAGATTTCAAAACTGTTAATTTTTACATTTATTAACTATTGATTTTATTAATGCATTCATGTTTATGTATTGACTTCTTCTGTACTCGACTCGAATTCTAGCTTCATTTCGTTATTAAGCCCCTCTACATCCATTTCAGATTCGTGGGCATTAAGCATGTTCAGTGTGACCTGCGAAAAAAACACTATGTACAACTACATATTACAAACGGAGTTGGGAGTACTGATATAAAAAGGGGTTTGGGACTTTGGGTAAAGTAGGCATCGAGTTCTATTTTGGCGGCCTCTCGTGAAAATAATAAGGTCTGAAAGAGAAAACAATCAAACAACTTTACTTACTATACAATACATATAGTTAGTATCGGAACCGAGATATGACACTAAAGTTTTATGCCGCGTATTCATTAGGCAACATTTGTTGATAAACAGTTTATGCGATGAACTGCATAATCTTTTAATGTATCAAAACATTTAATTAGCAGGATCATACCAGAAGTATGAGCATCGCAACTTGGTCATTGGACAACACATCCATAGTTAAATAAACTGTAAATCGCTCGCAACACGTCAAATTTTGTTAATTAAGTCTTGCTCTCTTGCTCTCCATTCAGAGTGGGTAACACTGCAACATGTATCTGAAACAATGTGTCATCATCTTTGTTTATAAACAATTTCTAGATTGTACATGGAGGTGATGCAAAATTGTCAAATACTGTTTATACACAAATGTTGCCTAATGAATACGCAGCATTATTGTAGCAATCTATAGGTAATTCTTGATAAATTGATTGAAAACAATCAGTAAAGAGTAGGGGCTCGTTGGCAGAGTATGGAACTCGATGTCGCAGTTGGTAATGGTAAGCGCGTTCGGTTTGCGATCGTGTAAGTTAATTAATTTTTGCCATGACCGGTCACTGGGTGGGTGACTAAAACTTATTATCTGCATACGTAGTGGTAGGTATGGGCGGTCATTCTCGCTCGTCTCTCGAATTTTTCTGACATAAAATCCCAGTTGTCACCCCCAGGTGGGTATACGCGGTGACCTATTTTATTGGATAAAGTCATATACCAGCTCGAAAAAGCAGCCTCCTTAAGAACTATTTTTTTTAATGATTATGAAAGCTGAGTGTATTCCTAACAGCTACTTATGAATCATGAAGTCACCTGTTTTGATTTTTAATTAAAGTTAAAACTTCAAGTCATAATTCACCGAACGTATTTTTTTCACTTTGGATCAACATTTTCATAACCTTTATCAAAGTTACAAAGCTAATTATTTTATTCACAAAAGTACAACGAATGAGGATTTAGTTGCAAAAACAAATTACGAAAAATTCTTCTACTTTTTCAAAGCTCAGGAATTATGTGAATAACGAAGTGACAGGCGTCGTATGCATGTACTCAGGAAAACTGGATTGCACAGAGCTAGTTCAAACGATAATCACACTTAGCGCCCCCGTAAAAAGATCGCAACACACTCAGTTGTTTCACATACTGTTGGTGCGAATAAATTACGAAGTTACTGATATGACTGCCTAGAACATATAATAAACACTTTTCTGAAATCGACACCTTCGATTTATCCATCAGTAAGAGAACACATAATCGCTGGTTCATTCACGATTGTGCTGAAGCTGTTTCGCGTAAACAGGCGGCATATCGTGTTAAGATCAGAGGCCGCGCTCTTAAAGAGCCTGGGGTCAATTCACTAAAAGCAGCCTACAATACTGCTACTAAGTCCTGCAGAAGGCTTACATCCGAGCGGATGCCTACCCAGCACGTTGCACGTATTGGCCAAGAGTATAATAATTATAATATCACTCTAGAATGTTCATCTTCTATCTATATTGTAGTAACATATTTGCAGTAGGTACAAATGAGCTTTGTGCTTGTGTGACCTGAGCTGTCAACTGTGAAAGAATGCGGAATACCAAATCTAATGTATATAATGAAAATTGTTTTTCAGCATTACTTTTTTTTTTCGTGATTTTTCCTATATTTTAATAGTTATTCTGCTATTCGGGGCGGAGAGAATTGTAAAAAAATAGATCTCATAAAAATCAGGTCCAGCCGTTCTTGAGTTAAAAGTGTTCTTACTAACACGACTTTGTTTTATATATAGATTATCCTAGTAAACTATTGAACATTTTTGTATGTTTTCTTTCGGTTTTAAAACCCTTAATTTAATTAAGCTAGATATTAAAGATAGCCACATTTATCGACTGTTGTAAAGGCTGTAGGCAGTTCGCCGGGTCAGCTAGTAATAATATAATTGAAATGTACTTATTCACCACATAACTAGTCATTCGTATTTTTCCAAATTCGAAATGTATTATACATTAATTTAAAACGATCGCCACACATAGAATCGCTGAGCTTATGTAGATATTTATATTATTCATTTTACTCAATCCTTTTCATCAGCTACCGTTTGCAGTATTAGTTAAAACTAGCAAACCAGTGAATCAAATGTTCACCAAAACCTGATTTCTCGAAAACCGGAAGTGCTACGTTACTCAAATCCGGTTTGTAGTCTTATCAGACTATTCTTAACTTATAACTTAAATATTCTGTTTATCTATCTCGTACGGTTTGGCCGCTGAAACAGCACCACAGACAGACGGACGGACTTGTCTAATAGATAAGAGATACCAAAAAAATATATCTAGATGAGATCGCATTTAATAGCATTTGTTTATTTTTTCGATAACAAATCGACTTTCACTTCGCTATTGTAATGTGTCAAAACGGCCATCATCATAATGTCATTGCAAAATATAGCCACAGTTTTTGGTGTCAGGGCATATCTAACGATTTAAATATTTACCGAGAACTAGGTTGAGTTCAAAGTTAAGAAAACACAGGTCTGCGCTTTTACTGCAAAAACAGTTGGTTACTCATTTCTTTGTGGCACTATCCACAAATGGAATGATTTGCTATATTATGTGTTCCTTTCCTCCTACAACTCAGGATCCTTTAAAAGAGGCGTGAAATGCAAGACGGCAAGGTGAGGATGGCTGGAGTGGCAGGTAAAACTGCTACACCAGTTACCTTCATGTCACCATCACTTAACATCAGGTGAGGTGAAGCCTTCTGTTGGAAAAAAAAAACAAAAAAATAAACATAAACTTGTGACTTTATACCTGTTGTGATATTGGGGTAGCATGAATACTATGCTGTGGTTGTTGTGACTGCTGTATAACGTTACTGTTACCAGCAGATGCCCGCTCTTCAGCAGCCTTCCTCTTTACAGGAGTTTTGGCTTGAGTACTGAAATTATAGTAGCATTTTTGTTACTTTTTTGTGAGCACAACCGAATTTATGTTTATTTTATTTGAATGTTAACAATCTTTGGTCCACATTCTTATCAGTTAGTAAATATCAATTTAATTATTTTCTCATTTTAGTTCGTTGGTTTTCTTGACCATCTAGGAAATTGTAAGAAAATACTCTTATTTCATGGCCGTAAATAAATAATCTTCTTATGTAGATTGTTAACAAAAACAGTTCAAAATGTGGACCAAAGGATTAACATAATGTCATAAAAATCATGCAAAGAGAGATAACTTGTAGATGGCCGGCTAATTAAAGATAGTAAAAGCTGTGTTCTGAATTTAAAAAAAAAGAAACACTGCAATCTGTTTTTCTTTGTTTTGCCGCGTATTTTCATGAAACGTCGATATTACAATATAGTTAAGTTCAATGATGGTAGATTAGTTTTATGAAAGTTTTTGATAGTAATTCTATATCAAAATACGAGGTAAACCTGCATTATTTTTTGGGAAAACTCACGGAGGTTAGATCTTTTTGATAATTAATGAGATGGAAAATCAAA